ACCACAGGGTGATGGTTTGCAGGGGAAGCAGCCACCCCCTCTTGGCCCCCCTTCTTTGGGTGGCCTGACATTCCCTGTGCAGAGCCCCCTCCCAACATCCTCTTTCCCGTTCGCCAGGATGGGAATCCACGGCCTGGCCAAGCTCATCGCCGACGTGGCCCCCGGGGCCATCCGGGAGAACGACATCAAGTCGTACTTCGGGCGGAAGGTGGCCATCGACGCCTCCATGAGCATCTACCAGTTCCTGATCGCCGTGCGCCAGGGCGCCGACGTGCTCCACAACGACGACGGCGACACCACCAGCCACCTCATGGGCATGTTCTACCGCACCATCCGCATGGTGGAGAACGGCATCAAGCCCGTGTACGTGTTCGACGGGAAGCCCCCGCAGCTGAAATCCGGGGAGCTGGCGAAGCGCACGGAGCGCCGGGCCGAGGCGGAGAAGCACCTGCAGGAAGCGCAGGAGGCCGGCGAGGAGGAGAACGTCGAGAAGTACAGCAAGAGGCTGGTCAAGGTGACCCCGCAGCACACCCAGGAGTGCAAGAAGCTGCTGGAGCTGATGGGGATCCCCTACGTGGAGGCTCCCGGAGAGGCGGAAGCCAGCTGCGCCGCGCTGGTGAAGGCCGGGAAGGTGTACGCGGCTGCCACGGAGGACATGGATTGCCTGACCTTCGGCAGCCCCGTGCTCATGCGGCACCTCACGGCCAGCGAGACCAAGAAGCTGCCCATCCAGGAGTTCCACCTGAACCGCGTCCTGCAGGACATGCAGCTCACCTGGGAGCAGTTCGTGGACCTGTGCATCCTGCTGGGCTGCGACTACTGCGCCAGCATCCGCGGCATCGGGCCCAAGCGCGCCGTGGAGCTCATCCGGGAGCACAAGTCCATCGAGAGGATCGTGCGGCAGCTCGACACCAAGAAGTACCCCCTGCCCGAGAACTGGCCGCACAGGGAGGCCCAGAAGCTCTTCCTGGAGCCCGAGGTGGTGGATCCCGACGCCGTGGAGCTGAAGTGGAGCGAGCCGGACGAGGAGCGGCTCGTGCAGTTCATGTGCGGGGAGAAGCAGTTCAGCGAGGAGCGGATCCGCAACGGCGTCAGGAGGCTGAGCAAGAGCCGCCAGGGCAGCACCCAGGGCCGCCTGGACGACTTCTTCAAGGTCACCGGCTCCATCACCTCGGCCAAGCGCAAGGAGCCCGAGCCCAAGGGATCGGCCAGGAAGAAAGCCAAGCCCGGCTCGAAGCCCAGCGCCGCCGCCACAAAGGCCAAAAAGGAGAAATGACGGGGTTGGGCACCCACAGACCGCCGGGATTGCGGGCTTTTGGGGGCTCGGCGAGGAATTTTGGGCTAATGACGAACAGTTAGTGCTGGGAAGGAACGGGTGAGGCTGGGAGAGGGGAGAGCTGGAGCAGCTTCTGGGCATAAACACCCCCAAAGTTAAGAATTCCAGCTGCAGAGCAAACCAGGGACAAATTAGGTTAACCCAATCCTGTCCATCCCAGAAGAGGTAAGATGGGAGTGGAAGGCAAGCTGGAATTGGGAAGGAGGCTTCAAATAATGAGGTAAAATTTTCTCTTTAATGGCAGTTTATTTAGGTTTTTCTTTCCCTTCTCATATTCACTTGTTTAAAATCCAGTTGTGATCCCAATTCCAGCAAAGTCCTGGCCTGCTCTTAGTACATAATCTGAGGAAAGCTGCTGGCTGCAGCTCTCCCAGCCTGAGTCGTGCTTAAAAATGCTTAAAAATAAAGATATCCAGGAGCCTAGAAAAGCAGCCTCTTCACCCCTGAATTCCAGAGGCGTCTTTCCGTGTTGTGCACACTGACAGATCCTGGGCTGGAAACTAGAAGTTAAAACCTCTTTTGAGTTTTTATTTAATTCTGTATTTTTTGTAGTTTTGTTGCTTGTTGGAGCCACGTGCAGGGTTTTGTTTCTAGAATAAAATGTAAGAACAAAGACACTGTTTCTCTTTTTCCGGAGAAATGGCTTAAACCGTGGTTGTAAATGAAAAAAATCCCACTTGTAGATGGAATTCCCCAACAGCAACAAACCAAGCACAGGCAGGAGCACAGAAAGTTACAGTTTTAAGCTTTTTAGATACTTTCTAGACATCAAAATTCCTTGGCTTTGCTCTCTGCCAGTTTGGGAAAGAAGCT